CCGCGTGTCGAGACTATCGCCCTAAGCCGACAAACAGCTGATCAGCTGTTTGTCGGCTCAGCGCGGCAGCCACGTAAGTTTAAATGAAGTGGCGATTATTTAAATCGCCGCTTCATTTTACTAAGTCTGGTAGCCTAATCTACATGCCTCTGGCGACAGAGGCATGTAGTCTAGACGTACCCTAAGTGATGATGCTAAGAGGAAAGCTGTTGAGCTATAATGTCTATCTAGCATGAGAAGGAACACAAGAACAGTCTGCTTGGCTGCTGGCAGAATAGTTTAAATGAAGTGGCGATTATTTAAATCGCCGCTTCATTTTACTAAGTCTGGTAGCCTAATCTACATGCCTCTGGCGACAGAGGCATGTAGTCTAGACGTACCCTAAGTGATGATGCTAAGAGGAAAGCTGTTGAGCTATAATGTCTATCTAGCATGAGAAGGAACACAAGAACAGTCTGCTTGGCTGCTGGCAGAATAGGTTCCATAGTGACCCATGGAGGTCTGAAATACATCCTAGCTACAGGCAGAGCTGGCGTGTGTGTGTGTGTGTGTGTGTGTGTGTGTGTTGGTGTTGGTGGACTTAGAAAGTCTCTGTATAAATTAAAAACCCTACAAACTAAGTCTCTGTTTTTTCCACTTGGATCTACAAAAGGTAATCTTGAAAATATCTGATTACAGAATTGAAGCACAAAAATAGTACTATACGTCAGTGTTTCCCCTAAAATGCAGCAGCATAGCTACACAGGTGATTAATCAGCCCCACCCAATCAGAAGCTCAGGACACAGCTTAGACTCAGGAACAGTGCTACACAGTGCTTTTTTTGTGATGGTATGCACAACAAAAAAAGCACTGGCTATACATATCCAATAAGTATTATTGAACTGAATTTGAATATACTTCAAGCACTCTATCTAGAACAGTGTTTCTCAAAGTGGCCCATGTTTCTCAAAGAGGTCTCCAGGAAAGTTTCAGGAAAAAAAAATATCTGCAGGTTAAGAGTTCTGCCTTACGAAATTGCCATATTATGCAATTGCCAAAGTGGTCCATGGACCCACTTTGAGAAAGCTGCTACCAGGCCACCCCAGTTTGTTTACGTACTGGCTTTGCAGCCACAGAGCCTTATGGCTCCCATTGGCTGCAGTTCGTCATTTGCAGCCAAGAGGAGCCGCAGGAAGCAAAGTAACCCAGGCCACTGCTTTCCACAGCTCCCGTTGGCTACAAACAGCAAACCACAGCCAATGGGAGCCACGAGGCTCCATCGCTGCAAAGCCCATAATTAAACAAACTGAAGTGGCCTGGTAGCAGCTCTCTCAGAGTGGGTCCACAGACCTCTGAGAAATACTGATCTTTTTCTAGATCTGTAATGCTGACTAGCCATAAATCCTCACGGCCAGCCGTCATAAAGCGAAACTCTTAACTGCAGATTTTTTTTTTTCCTGAAACTTTCCTATATACCTCCTAGGAGTGAAACAGGAACTTAAAATTATTCTCCCCCCATCATCACAGTACTGGTTCATGAACACCAAACCCTGGCTCACAGATTAAAGAAACTGTTTTTTTCCTTTTTGGAAATCAATCCACAGAAACTTTATTTTCTTCCATGGATCATCACATAGGTAACCTTAACACATTCCTTAGACTTTTTGCTATACATTTTTAAATGATTTTCTATTTCAGAGAGTCCTTCCCTACTAGAAGAAAGTCCTCATCCAAATAATCTTACCACTTTAGGACACCAGAGCCAATTAATCACAAACTGCACCTATTAATCAGTCTGAGAATTCTTCCAAAAGCTTTACATCTAAATGTTAAATATTAACTGAGAATTTAGGGGCATCATAAATTATAATAATATTCTTTTTGCTCTCTGGGTGTCAAAGCTCTGGCAACCCCAAACTTGCCATCCCACTATCCTCAAGGCATCAGATTTGTGGCGACTTACCACTGTACCTCATGAAAGGATTGATAAAGCCCTGAAAAAGCACTTAATGTCCTAGAATTAAAATACAAACTCAAATCCCCATTATACTAGCACAATTTGCTAATTAATGTACATGTTCATTTGAAATTATCTAAAAAAGTTTTGTAGCAAAGTACAGAAAGATAACTTCTGTGAAGTTAACCTAATCAAGCCTCTGTGTCTATTTTAAAGCTTTTGTGTTTTACATACATGGATACAGATAAATAGTATCTAAACTAAATATATTTTTGTAAATATTAATTTGACTTTTTCTTCAGCTGTTACATTTTTCTGAAGTAGTTAATTTTTTTTTCAGCCTAAAGAGCAACAAACCCAGTAAAAGCCAACAACCAACACTGTATTTATCCAAGGCTTCACTTTCTTTAGCCATGTATTGCTGTTGCCCCCTGTAATTTATGCTCCAGATTTTGTCTTGATACTCATATTCACTAATTGCAACATTACTCTGCTGAGCTTTCTTGATTTACTGAACCTGCTCAGTCCTCCTAATGCAACAGTTGCTATCAAATTACTATTGGGCTGCTAGCAACGTAAATATGCTTCATCCACTGTCTCTCACAATGATTTAAAGTTCCAACTTCTAAGACTCATTTCCAGTCATTATAAAAGAATGATCTACTGTAGTAATTATAATTATAACAGCTGTGTCATCACCAAATCTCTGAGTCTTGTGTGAGTTTATTGCATGTTTTTGGTCCAGTTCTTTTTTAATCTATTGTGTAGAAGATGTAATGAACCACCACAAATGTGTAAGGCGGAAAAAAGAAAATGTAAAACTGGTGAAGGTAGGACTCAAAACAGTCTCAAAATGCATTTTATACAGATTGTAACGGGGAATTTTTGCACCCAGAGCAAGCAAGCATATTTGCATCCCACTACTAGTTTTTGCATCTTTTTCTGCCCAAATGGTTGCCATACTTGTCTCAGCCTGGTTACAGCCCTGATCTTATATGATCTCTAACAGATGGATGATTCTAGTCTAACAAACCTGTTCCAAATTTACTGAAGGGATGTTTGGGATTTCCAGTAGCTTTCTCCAACTGAAACAATCGCCAGGCATCATTCATTAAATTCTTTTCATGTTCAGAATCAACAGCATTCACTTCCCTTTCCTTGCAGCTCTCATCAAACAGAGGGCACAGGAAAAACTGGGCAAACCTAAGAGAAAATGTTACAAACTTACACAACTAAAATGTAAAGCTTCCCAAGTCAAGATTATAAAAATAGTGGGGCAACAGCCACCACAGACCTCCTGGGCAAGTTGGGGGGGGGAGAGTAGTTCTGTGAATCCAGAAGGGGTGGAGCCTCATGCAGAAGGGGTAGGGATGCGGACAGAGGCCCATTTGAATCACCAGGCCCTGGGGCAATTGCCCCGCTTTGTCCCCCAGTGTTGGCAGGCCTGCATAAAACCCAAAAAACTCAACCCTCAAACGAGAAAGTCTGGAAACTCAAGTAATGTTTTAATTTGTTGTTAATTAAGAATATACGACTAAAATCTTAGAACTCTTGAAAACACTCCTGGCTTTACCACAGACTCGCTGTGATCAGTTAATCACATTCTTCTCAGTTTCCTTATATGTAAAATACCAACTTACTTATCATAGAAGAGTGTTGTGAGAATCCAAAACTCTTGGTAATACAGTGCAGTGCATCCATGGAGGATGTCAAATGTTTATTTTTAATAATATTTATTGAAGATTATCTAAATAGTATACAGAGTAATACAAACCTAAGTAAAACCAAACAAAAAATACAAGCCTTGATCTGTACACAAAGTCATAAATTATATTTATATATCATATCATTCAGTACAAATGCATTTCCTATAACTGATACAATTTGGCCAATAAAATACTTTCTATCTTTCATGTTATCATTTATTTTACAATTAAGATATTAATACCATGCAACTTTTGTCATTTCCATCTAAAAATTAATCTATTCACCATGATGTGATCTTTATTATTATTTGTATTACAATAGCCCTAAGGGTCCCAACAGAGCTTGAAGTCCCACTATATTAGGCATCATTCAAATACATAATAAGAAACAGTCCCTTCCCCCAAAAATTTCTAGTCCCTTCACCAAAAGATTAAATAGACAAAAGGTAGAAAAAAGAGATTATTATTGCTCAATTTTATAGATGCAGAAACAGACAAAGTCTGACTCAAAGCCTATTAAAGGTAATGGAATTAATTTAACAGAGCTTTGGATCACATCTTAGAATAGATGATTTGCCCAAGATCACATGGAAAATCCATGCCCTAAACACAAGTCAATTCTAACAGTCAGTGCTACAACCTCACTTATAATAATACAAGATGTAATGCTGTCAGCAAGAGTTCAACATATAATTATGATATTCCAAATGTGAGCCAGAACAACATCTGAAAAAAAAAAAAAAAAAAACAGAAGTAACAAATGTTTACCTGTCCAATGCACCTTCTAGATGTTCATGTGACACATCAAAGTAATAATTGGTGTGTTCTCCACTAGTGAAAGCATTTGAACTTCCTGCATGCTCACTAAGAAACTGACTGTACTCATTCTCTTTTGGGTACTTCTTGGTTCCCAAGAACAGCATATGCTCACAGAAATGGCTCAGCCCAGCAATGTTGGGAGGGTCTGATAATGATCCTGTGGATGGAAAATATACACATTAAACAAATCATATTAGAATATGTACAGGCTTTAAAATAATTTATATTATACTTGTGTACAATCAATTATGTGAATTCTGTAGTTATAAAACTCCACTTAACTCCAGACAGACAGACAGACACAGGAAGCCAAACCCAATGTTCAAAAAAGGTATTTCAAAATGAACAAGTTGATCAGCTTGAGAGGGTTCAAACTCTGTTTGCTCCTTCTGGGCCAGGCTAGCATAGAATCTGTTCACCCCTGATTCCTATATAAAAGCCATTTTTAGTCTGTACAGGACTCAATGATCATATGGTTCTAGTTTTCCCTCTTTGTTTCCAGCAGATACACTGCATTGAAAAGGAAACTTACAATATACTTAATGCTTTCCTGAAATTACAATTCCATGCAAGCCATTGTTGCAATCTTAAATAGAATCAAAAGGGACGGGAGGTAGTCCATTAGAAAAGCTGTCTATTAGGATATGATGCACACTATAAAAATATTAATAACTTATTTTATAAACTCTGAAATTTATTGTGTAAGATTTCAGCACTGGAAAGGCTAGCTAGCTGCTTTCTGAATTGTGTCAATATGAAAAAGTTTAGACACTGATTTGTAACACACATCATTCTTACAAGCTATGCTATGTGTACAAAAAAAAATATCTCTTAAACTCTTCAGAGCTATGAAAAGATTGCTCTTCTGTTACTATAAGAGACAGAAGCAGATTAACTATGTTTTTTCAACCCGGGTACTTTATGTACACACTCTAGATCCATCTACACAAGAAAACACTCAGAAAAGTTATGAATTAAGTAAAGGTGTAAAGTTAACATGCATAAATTTAAGACCATTTAAAACCCTGTGGGGATGTTCTCGTTGAAAGAGAAAATTATGTAATTATCTGTAACCCTCTAGATTAAGCTAAAACCACTTTCCTTCCGGATGGGAGTATACGCATAGTGCTTAAAGGAACTCTGATTTTTGCACATTAACTTCACTCCTTTAGTTATTCACCCTAATTATCCTGAGTGTTTTCATGTAAACACTGACAGCTTTTTTCTTTTGACATATTATGCTGCTTTTGTTTGCCAATACAGCCTCTTCCCGACTTACGAACCGGTTACAGACCAAGCAATTGATCGTAACTTGGTTTGTTCGTAAGTCGGACCCCATTGAGTTACACACGACCGCGCTGTTCATAAGCGCGGATCGCGTTCGTAATTCAAGGCCCGCCATTTACGACCGCCTTGGTCGTAACTGCGAATTGTCGTAAGTCGACCGTTCGCAACTCAGGAACCGGCTGTACTCATTACAATAAGCATGCATGGAATACATTTAGAATGGTAGATAAAACGTGTGAGAGATTTTTCCACTTTTTTTTTTTAAAATGACTCCTTGAGAATGTGGAATAATTGTGGATAAAATTACAAGTCTTACCACTGATTGACCATGTATAACACCAGGAAAATAAAACTAGCTCTAATAATTTCTAAAAGGATATATGAAGAAATAAAACTGGAACGCATAATAATAAGAGAAAGCTGTGCAACCAGCTGGAAACAACTCCCTGTAAATGCAAATATATTTTGGGCTATGTACCATCAGTTTATGTGCAACTAAAATATTAAAATTAGTGGTAAGGTTAAAACAGGTCAGAGAAAAACACAAAAGGAATTCAATAAATACCTATATGTACGTCAAGTGCAGCTGATGACTTATCTGTTGTGGGGTCGCTGATGAGCATTGCTTTGATGCCATTTGCCAATTCTAATCCACGATATTCTCTCTTATCCTCAGGTGATTTGATAATCTCATTTGCTATTCTCTTAATAGCTGGATTGCTCATTTTGTTGGGGGTCTCCTTCTGAAGCCTAAAAGAAAAATAATAGAAACAACAGAAAGTTATTTAAATATAACTATCCCAGAGGATAAATGAGAGAAACCTAATTTCCTGTGCAAAAACCTGTCCTGTATGCTGAATTATGGTCCATATTTGGAAAGATGCTGAGCATCTGCAGCTCCCATTAAAATCTTCATATGGGAATGGATATTAATGAATCTACTGCAACTTCCACTCTAAATAATTAAAAATTAATAATTCGGCAATGATACACATCAGCTACTATTCAACTATAATAATAAAAAAAGAGACTACAATGCAATCTTCCCAAATCCATGTTAAATGTATAAAAATATTTTAAATATCTTGTATTGATATTGAAATTTTACAAAAAAAATTTACTAAAAATCAAAAGAAAAATGTGAAGTACAAATAGGTATGTTTACTATTATAAAGATTACTACTATACTGTCACAGATAGGGATGTGAAAGTGTACTTGTGTACACGGTTAACTGATGAGCATATTGGTTAAAGGAACTCTGATTTCTACACTTTAACTTCACATCTCAACTCATTGGTTAACCTTCATGGTTACATGCAGGTTCCTGGGTACATGTGGAGAGCAAACTTAAAAGCCAGCTCCCCACGTGCACTGCCTTCCAGGGAGCGAAATGGCTCTCCCCACCCTCCGCACTGCTGTTTCTGTATCCAGGGAGACGCTGAACAGAGCGGGGGAGGAACCGGGCCGGACCCGCGGCGCTTTCAGCTGATCTGGAAGCCGCGGGTCCGCCCGGGTCCTCCGTGGCTTTGCTCAGCGTCTCCCTGGTCTGCAGCACCCGGAGCAGCTTTTCTCGCCCCGGAGGAGGCGGGCGG